CAAAAAAAAAATTAACGTGAACATTAAGCGAGTATGCTAGATATGCAAGCCAAAATATGAAATCAAGTTAAATCAATAGAAAATAAACACAAAAAATTAAAGTTTAATTCCAAAAAAATTCAACGTAAAATAATGAGAATTAAAAGAAAGTCAATAAAAAAAAAACTGAAAAAACACAAAGCAAGTCAACCAAACTCTATGAACACGACTCATATAAATGAAATAACCAAAATAAAAAGAAAAATAAAAAATATTATGAAACTCAATTCTAAAAAGAAACCTAATGTAGAAGGAAAAGATATAAAAGATATATTTTTTTTAATAATAAAAAAAAAGAGATTGTAAAAAGTACTAAATCAACCCACCAAACTTGTAATTCAAGTAATGGAACCAAGATAAATGAATATAAAAAAAAATTTAGAAATTATCAAACCATATATATATATATATATATATATATATAAACATTCAACTTTGAAATTAAATAAATTATTAATTGAAAAAGATTATTAAATTAAATTCAACCAAAAAAGACAAATAAAAAAGATATGAGATAATATGGGTCAATTTAAAAATTTACAAAACAATCCTATAAAAGACAAATAAAAAAAGAATGTAACATAATAGCTAATAATATAAGTGTTAAACAGTGAAACTTAAAAAATATGATCTTAGAAAAAAAAAAAAAACCAAGCAAACTCAAGAGAACCTTTTAAATATAAGCTAACGTCTCAAACAACCCATGAAATTTAAGACTCAGGTTAAATAAAAAAACTCAATTCTCAATTAATTTAATATTAAATAATAAAATTAAAAATAAAATATCAATTTAAAAAATTAAACCAAAGAAAATTTAGTAAAGAATAAAAAGTAAAAAGACTTGAGATAACCCAAGTTATTTTCAAAATCACTAATAAATATAGAAAGTAAATAAAAAAAATAACAGAGCCCAATTTCTAATTCAATAAATATTGAAAGATAAAATTAAAAAAACAATCAAGTAAACTTAAGCGAACCTACTAAACTTGGGCTAACCTTAAAAACTTGAAACCGTTTAAATCCTAAACCCAGACTCAATAAAAAAAACTCAATTCTCAGTTAATTTAATATTGATGATAAAATAACAATTTAAAGCTGAGAATACAATAAAAAATTAAAAATTAAAAACATCCAGAGTAAAAAAATAGCAATAAAAAAATAAAAATCAAATTTGTTAAAAAATAAGGATAAAATTAGAAAAAAAATATTTTAAATAAAAAAATAACAATAAAAATAATAGAAACCAAATTTGAAAGATTAAAAAATTAAAAGGAGATGGAATTGAAAAAATTCTAATTTTATAAATTATTCAAAAATATCATTCTAAATATTGAAGAATAAAATGAAAAAATAATTTAAAATATTAGTAAAAAAAAAGTCAAGAAAGAACAACAAATAAAAACACCCGAGTAACCCAAGTTATTTAAAAAATAAGTAAAAATTTCTACAAAAAGTAAATAAATAAAAATGATAGATCCTAGTTTGCAATTGAATAAATTTTAAATGATGAAATGAAAAAATATGAGCTTAAAGAAAGGAAGAAAAAAAAAAACCAAGCAAACCTTCTACACTTAGGCTAATATCTAGAATTTGCAACTCATGTAGTTCTAGACTAGTACTCAATCAAGATATTTAATTTTTAATAAATTAATGATGAAAAATAAAATAAAAAATATCAATTTAAAAGCTTTATCAAAGTAAAAAAAATATCAATCAAAAAAATAAAAATTAAATTTGATAGGAAAAATAAACTTAAAAGGGGTGAAATTGTAAGAATTTTTTTTTTAAAATGATCCCAAACAAAAAAAAACAATAAAAAAATTAATAGTAAATTTAAAAAATAAAAAAATAGAAGGGTGTGAAATTAAAAAAAATACTAAATTAAAAAAAAAAGCAATTAAAAGAATATGGATAAAATTTGATATAAAAACTTAACTTAAATAGGATGAAATAGTAAAAAATAAATAAAAAAATTGAAAAAATATTCTCAAACAAAACAAATAGTAATAAAAAATAATGACCAAATTTAAAAGATAAAAAACGAAATAGGGGTGAAATTAAAAAAAAAATATTAATTTTATAAATTATTCAAAGAAAATAAACAATAATAAAAAGGATATGGATCAAATATTAAGAAAAAAAATTTAAAAGGGATTTTGAAGGGTTTTACTCAAGATTCAAAATCAAGAAAAAGAAGAGGGGAAAATCGTCATTTGTAATATACTCGAGTTTGATGTACGCATTATCCCTTTAAAAAAAAGGTGTTAAGACATTTCAAATATTATACTGGATGATGATGAGACATTTTAAATATCATCGTTAAAAATAATGTTTGGTGACAAGACAATCTCATATATATTGCATGAAAGGCATAGGGGTTGTACATCTACCACCATGTATCATCAACTTTTTTTTATGGTATTTAATAAATACAAAAATACATTTGAGTTTCCTTGATAATAACAAAAAATAAAAAACCATGGTAAAATGATTAAAAAGTCCTTTAAAGAGAGTTTAATGGAATTTTTTTTTTCAGATGTAATAAAGCCATTCAAGTATAAAAAAACAATTAAAAAGATCAAAATACTCTTAAATATAAGGTAAATTATTTTCTTATTTGAGGGTAAAGCATTTAATTTTATTATATATAAAAAATAAAAAGATTAATTTGTCTCTATATTATTTGAAAAAAAAATTGTATCATGGTAAAAAGATCATATTGCTTTCATATCTAGTTCAAAAAAAATTTATGCAAGAATAATTTTATAATTATACCATTAGCATTATAAGTTTTGGTTAACATTAATACTCTTTGGAGATTCAATTTTTTCTTTAACCATAAGCTTATTCTTGATTCCTTGTTAAGAACTCACTTTTACTATAAATTTAACCTTCACGTAAAAAATGAGCAAGTATTTGTAAGCCAAAATGTACTTATCTCGCATGTCAATTATAACAAGTACATGAATGGTTTCATCCCCATCTTCACTAACATTATGAACCCTAATTTGTTCATCAACACCTTTCATTCCACCAATGGATATGCTCTTTGAGGCCTCCCATCAAACTCCTCCTTTTTCTGGCTTTCCAATAATTTTTTATACTTCTCTCTAACTTGAAGAACATTTTCATGGTTATTAATCAATTCACCTGCATTTAACTCATATTCATTTTTATAGCACTGTTAAAATGTTTAAAAATACGAAAATAATTTTTTTAAAATATTTTTTATTTAAAAATATATTAAAATAATTTTAAAATATAAAAAAATTAAACTTTTTTAAAAATATTTTTTATACATAAAAATAAAAGTTTTACCCGTGCCATGGTTTTCCTCGACGACTTGAACTTTATAAATTCGAGAACGACGTCCAATCATTCATTTGCCATTTATAGAAACCTAGTTTTAATATCACACTTACTAGGTTACCACTTTTCCTAAAACTACCCCACATCTCCTCATATTTACATTTCTACCATCTTAAGATTCTTAAGCATCCACGTCAACATTATACTTAGACATGAAAGCCACGCGAAAAGTAGTATTTTTTTTATATAAATAAGTTATTTTTTAATATTTGATAATATTATGAAAAATAAATTAAAAAAATACTTTTTACTATTTTTTTATATTATAAAAAATAACTTATTAATATTTTTTAAATTTTATTAAAAAAATAAAAAATAAATTTAATAGTCAGTAAATAATATGATATTTCTAAATTTTTCATGATTTCTACAAAGTGTTTTTCATTTACTTTTAGAAAGTGTTTTCTGTTCAAAATAAAAAAAAATATTTTTTTGAAAATCAAGTTAAATTCTACTTTAACTAAAAATTGTTTTTTTATTGATTAACTTTCTTAATAATAAGGAAACAAATACAAAAAAATTTAAAAGATAATTTTTTAAAAATTTGAACAAACAAACGCCTTCTAAAATATTTTATAAATACGAGAATGAAGGTTTCCTCATCCAACTTAACATTACCCTATTTTACATCATCATTTTTCACGTACATCAAACAAATTTATAACGTTCTTACTCTCTTTCTCTTCTCCTTTGTTTCTTTCACCAACACTCAACTAGACCTACTAATTTCAAGGACACTTTGTCAATAATTCTATATATTACCTTGTGCAAACACACATTTTTATGTGCAATGCAAGATGTATCGTCACTTAAACACCTCATCTAATTTTCCATGTCGTCACCTTGAGATAAAATCTTATAGTCAATCTTGACAAGTTTCTCCGCACCAACCTCTTAATTCCTTGATTATCGTATAGCTTAATGGTGGAGGAATTTTCATTAAAAACTCACTTATATTACCAATGTTATACTCCAGTTTAGGATTTCTAACAAATTTAACCTCCATATGAAAAATAAGCAAGCATTTGGGAGACAAGTAAACTTGTGTCGCATGTTAAAGATCATATCAATGTCTTCTTTCAGAATTTTTCCAAACCTAATGTCAAGAACGAACGCCACTTGGATCACTGATCTCATTCTCCATGAAAAAACTTCCATAAAAGAGATGAAGAAAGAAACCTTCCTGACTTTTGAAGGAATCTTGATCTCGAATGTGTTTGTCAAAGAACGTCACCTTCAAAACTACACGTCGTTGTCCATATTTCATCTCTGTCTCTGTCCTTCAAAATCTCAAACTTTCACTAACACACTTAAAAGACAAATTCTTCCTCTTTCTCTTTATAGTATCTCTTGTTCTCTCACTTCTTGTCTCTCTTTATCGTAGTATATCTCTTTAGTTCTTCATGTCATTTTTAATTTGTTTTACCGACATTCATTACTTAAACTAGAGTTCTAGTTTAATTGGTTAGCAATTGGACGGTGGTTGTTCAAATATGAATTATTATTTGATTATTTGATTTTTTTTAAATTGATTTTTATGCTTAACAGGAAAAAAGAAAAAAAAAATTATGTGGTTGAAAATTGGATTACCATTTGAAGTGTTGTGTACGAGGAGTTTATTGTTTTCACAAAGAGAAAACATACTCAAAATTGATCTCCTCAATCCACGGCTCCACCATCAACAAAATGGAACCAAAGAGCAAAGAGTCAGATTATGTTCTATGTCTAGTTTTCCCAAAACACTTGCTGACAGGCATCTTGCTCTCTTATTTATATGTATATTAACACTCTAATATGGTTCTTAACACTGCTGATTTATCTCACAGAAGGCAGGGATTCTCCTAGAAGAAAGGCTGAGAAAAATGCAAGTGAGTTGCTTGGTTTGAAGACTGGCACAGCATGTCCAGCTCCTCTAAATGTTGCAAATGTTAGCCCCTCGTATTCTTGGAACCACCCACTGACCTGAATATCCGAAGAATAATTCCCCTTTGTTAGTGATACCTAGATGATACTGTCAATAATTCTTTTCTTGAAAAATAAAGATTGAGTGATTGATCGACTTCAGGAATAACTAAATAAGGTTTGATTTAGTTTAGTTCAGTTTTTTGCATGTTTGTAGATAGAAAATACCTCCTTCTGGTGGTACCAGGGTCTCCATGCCTTAGTGATTGGAAGGCCCAGAGAACTTAAGCTGTATCTTGTAGATAGTACAGGAACTCTTCCATCTGTATCACCACTAAACCATCCAAAAAGGAGAATGTGAGGGCGATGAAGAATATTTCATTGAATCATTGATTACTGTCTCCACAGTGCAGGGATACAAACCTGTAAACCCATATTCTGAGTCCTGCTGTAATCAGCTTCTTGTATATAGGAAGAACTGATGGCCTCGATTCCAACCATTCAACAAATATCTTAGCGCTGAATCCAGAAATTAGCACAAATATTTTTCAGTTTTGGGAAAAACTCATATATGTCTCATGGATTTCACAAGATTAACTGGAATTTCAATTTGCAACCATTGAAATTCCCTTCTGTCAATGAAACTTCAAAACATGGACAAACACAATAAAAGTTGTTATAGCTATTATAGAGAAGAATATAGAGAGTTTGCATTACTTGCAGATACTCCAGTTCTTGAGATGGTGACCATCACTGACATGGAGAGCCTTTTGAACATCTGGTCTGTTGTAGAAAGCTTTTGCATATTCATCAAGGCATGGATCATAACCACCCATAATCCTTGGCATCTGATAAATATAATTTGACAGTTAGGTCGTCACTTTACACGTTGCTTGAAAAATAAGTAGGTATCAATACCCATGAACTTCAGAAGTTCATCAAAAGCGAGGATTAAAATACTGACTAATCTACAGTCGAAGAATTTCATCATCAGAATACTCCAACAAAAACAATTAAACAACTTAATAAGTCCCTTTTGAAAATTCAAAAGGGCCATATTGCCACTTCACTGAAATGATTAATAACAACAGGATTCGGCAAATCTGAAATCATTTACCATCTTGGATGAGCGCCTAAACATGATCTGTGTAAATTTATCATCTGAACTTGCTGAATCACCTATGCAGACTGAGGTGTAGAGGCTGTAAATATCTATCTCCTTGTATTGTTTGAGTAATTCATCAACAGCCTCAGCACAATCATCGTTACTCCATGTGTCATTACTGTCAAAGTTGCAGCTTTGTCTGATTATCTTATGAGTTTCATCTGATATGACAGCATGGCTCCAAGCATAGTCCACCATACCTCTCCAGTCATCAGCGTCACTTGTTTCAGGATTACCCAACTGTAACGCCCATAAAAAGAAAAGCACTGATCAGTTCTTAAGAAAATACTATCAACAAGCAGGAAAGTTATGCATAAAGATTTTGTTGCAAGACCATACCAGAATACCATTGAGGTCGATGTAAAGGGAAGTATCATTATTCTTGTCATTTATAAGCTCAGCAAGCTCAGGAACATATTTTCCTGTTAATACATGTTAAAAAGTAACATCAATGTGGTTAGAGCTTAATCAGAACGAGTCGGGAAATTATTGCCAAGGTGAAATACCTGCATAGCTCTCTCCTGCAATATAAAACGCCCGCGATCTATATGATGGAAACAGGAGAAACCACTTGTGCAGGAAAGCATAGGCATCATTTGCTGGCAAAGAGAGGTCGGAAAAAACTCAAGATTTTCTGTTGATACCCAAATCAAAATGGTCCAAAAAGCACTCATAATAAAACAATTTCTACAGAAGAGTCAGCATGAAACTCACCAGTAAATTCGTCTCCCAGAATATTATAATCACTTGTAGTGTTTGAATATGAAAACCCAACTCCAACTGGAGATTCTAAGAATAACATATTGGCCTCTGCATCATCATGGACACAGAATGTTGAAATCAAGTTTTCTAATTAATCAGATATAATGGAGCATTATGCAAAGTGCCACCATAGATGGTTGTGTCATATTTTGTAGTCAGAAAGCTGGTCTTTGTGTTGAGAGAAAAAAAATAGATTGTGGGGCCTCACATATATACCTGTATTCCAAGAGTAAGGATTATATTTAAGTCCATGTCCATTAGTGTCCACTATGAAAGGGCCAATCTCTTGTGTTGCTCCATATCCTACAGAAGAGCACCCAGGACCTGAAACATGGAGCATCTTGTCACCTCATTAGAGAACATAGAATAAGAAGTTATTGAAAAGAACTTGCTTTGGATGAGGTGGAAAGAGGGAGAAAAACGAGCCCCACTATGAAACTAATAAGAATTAATGGAGATTTTGATAATATATCCTTAATTGTTTATTAGCAGAGGTTTTGTTTATATAATATGGGGATCTGTCTATAGAGCAGGCAACATGAACGATCGAGCATGTGCTCTTCCTTTTCCACTGTAATACGCACATAAAATTATAGGTGAATTGAATAGATTTTATAAAAAAGAATGGTACAAATCTATATGGCCTTGAAGAAATTAACGTATATTAGAGGATGACTAAAGTTCCTCCCACTATATATACTATATAGTAGATTTCAAGCCCCTATAACATCTATATGGACTCCTTTTATTGTCTAGTAAATCCTGAAATGCCGCGCCCTATGGCTGAGGCACCACGAAGGATGCTGCAATAACTAGACCAGCCCCCTTTTTTTTTCTTTTCTTTTGAGCCGAAAGGACAGATTTGAATGGGGCATTAATTTTAAAAAGATTACATATAGTAATCATTCTTTCTTGGGGTTTATGTGGATTTCATTTTGGCCTAAAAACATTAGGAAAAAATGGAAGCTGCCTATCCAGTGATGATATTATGTTACACGCGCTTACCTCCATTAAGCCACAGGACTAGAGCTTTTTCATCAGGATGAGTTGTGGCCTCATAGAACCAGTAAAACAATGCCCTTCCATTCTGTTCATTGACTGTAAGGTAGCCAGCATAGTGCTTGAAGTTCACATCTGGCTGGCCTGGCAAATTAGTTACAAGATGCTCGTCTACCAGTGGCTGGCCAGACAATTGCCAGTGTCTAATACAGACAACAGGCTCCAAAGAGAATAAAGCAGTGAAAACCAAAGTGAGGAAACTTGTCACCTTAGGTACCAAATCCATTTTGGAAAAAAAAAAAAAAAACAATTTACTGAGAGATAGCTTCTAAAAAGCCGAAGATGATACGATAAGAAAGAAAGCAAGCATGTCTATTTATACCATTGGAGGGTTTGAAGGAGAGATAAATCTTAAAAATTTAATATGTGGGAGAGCAGTCCTATGTGGCATGGTGATTCTATCATATCGGAAACCTTAAGGGCACTTCTGACATGGATTTTTAGGCAGCTTCTACACTTTTCTTAGCTTCTACAGTGTTCTTGCGTGAACATGGTTTGGTGGACCCTTCCATTTGTTGTTGTGTGGATTGGAAGCATAACATTATATAATTATAAAATCCTGTTATTATTGACTTATAAAGACTTCTCTTCTCAATTATTCATAGCTTTATTGCCAAGAACAATGTTTATAAATGTATTCATTTTAGGCAACATGAAGATTTGTTATCAAACCCGTAACAATTTGTTTCAAATAACTATGGATTTGAGGGATTTATAGGAGAATAATTTGAGGATAAGATTATGGAATGGTCAAATGAGGCTTCACGCGGGAAAATCAATTAAAAAAAAATCAAATATTATGTGTTGTTTTACTTGTTAACAAGCCAATAGCAGGTTGTTACATAGGTGATTGTGTTTTTGTATTATTATTATTTTAGAAAATTATATGCTTTTTTAAAATATAACAAGCAATAATACTTTCAAATTGGCATAAGATTTACCAAAGCTAATTTAATCATATTTGCTAAAAACTTTGGTAAGATTTTGTTATATAACAATCATATAGCAAACAATCTTTTAGGAATTAAAATGTTAATTTCTTTTTTTGGTTTATTGAGTTTAAATTTATTATTTTATGGCTTATGTGCTTAATTTATGGTATTTTCATCTCATGTAGATTGTATCCTTGTTAAATAGTCAACATGCATTTTATTAAAAAAAAAAAGGTACAATTTTCTTAGCAATTAATATGTTTCTTTGTTTTTGTTTTTTTTTTTGGGTTTGTTAATTTATAATACTTTTATCTGTTTAACACAATCTTTAGCAATTAATATATTTCTTTATTTTTTTTGTAATTTGTTGAATTTAAATTAATTAATTTATGTTTTTGTGTGATTTTCATTTGTGGGTTTTTTTTAACATCATTATCAAAAAATTGATAATACAAATAGAAACACCAACATATTTTTTTTTATCATATATCATGATGATATTTACCAACTAATTTTTTCATCATTAAATATGTCAATAACAACCAACAGGAATATGTTGTTGGTACATACCGAGGGATTGAAGCTGACAAATTCACAGTTTTGTTATTACGCACACTAACGACTTCATTTTGTTCATTTCACATGTGGAGCAAATGGTAAGATTTATTTTAATTATATTTATTTTTTATTTTTTATTTTTTATAAATATATTTAGTTGACAACATTTTTATTTTGCAGGCTATGACTATTGAGCGCGAGTCAAGCCCAATTGAACTTTTATGGAAATGCACGTATGAAGTGATGACTATCAAAAAGAAATGCAACAGTTCATCGATAACTAAGCTCAACACTTTGTGTTATATTGGTTTTAATCATTTTTTTCTTAAGTTATTATTTACTTAAATTTGATGATTTTATTTTCTTATTTACAGGAGATATATAACAACCTGTTGAAGGAGAGATGCAGGAACGACCCTTCAAAGCACACGGATTTTGATCCAGATTTATGGTTGGAGACATAATCGTCTAGTGGACCCAATAGAAATTAAATGTGCGAACTCTTTGACACTATGGTTGAAAACTTGTAAAGGGTCCGTAGTGTTTCAACCATTGATTACTCGTAATTGGTCCTGGGCACTCAGTCTCTGGAATTTGTGGCCTTGTTAGATAAAAGAGTGCAAGAATGTACCGCTCATCTCAATAAAAAATATAAACTCTTTACAAATTATGAATAACTCTATCGAATGGTCATGGATATGACATTACAAATGAGTAGTATATATGCACTGTTTTATTGGCCTCACAGTCCCAAATACAATTAGCCTCCTCTTCCTTCTCCAGCGTTATTTCTATTCTAGTTTTATTGTATTTGAATGTATAAATTTGTAATAAAGATTTGGATTTTATATTAAGATAATTGATTTTTAAATACTTCAATTTTATATAAATTTATTTTTTGAAATTATTTTCTATTTATGTTCAATAAATTTTAAGAAAAATATATATTTTTAAATTATTACTAATAGGGTTATCAATGAAATAATTCTATCGTTATATTTTAGAGAGTTGGAAAAAAATTACAGCAAATCCCCCTACAACTGTTAAATCTCCGGTGAAATTATTTCATTACTATATTCTAGAGAGTTTAAAAAGAATTGCTACAAATGCCACTGCAACTCACCAAGGGAATTACTAATGGATTGAAATAGGTTTTTTTTTGTCGTGCATGGTCTATCTATAAATCCATCGGTAAATTTAATGATGATGGACTTACTGATAGACCAGAAATTACTGATGGAATGTTAGTAATTCTAACGGATGGTTTCGTTCATCACTTCATCAATAAAATAATCAAAAATAGAATATTAGTGTAAATACCAATAGAAATTTTTGTACGTAAAACTATTAAATCTAGTAGTGGATTTTATTATATTGCATATCTACATAGACATATCACATACATTAAATAATGGATCCATCCCAATCTAACAATCCATATGTCATTTCAATCTCCAAATTGAATATTTAATGGATGTTTTTTAGAATTTGATTATGATTTACTGTTACATATGATTTGATATGATATAGATAGATAGATTGATATATTCTATGGATTCTTTTCATATTTTTCTCGTTATATTCACACCAATTAATCAACAAAATTCTCATATTTCTACAACCTCAGTTGAACTTGTGCGTATCTATTCTTGATCATGGATATTGTTATATATCCCTAACTCTAAGAAGCATGGAGATAGGCATGAACTTTCTGAGTCATTGCTGAAATGAAATAATTTTCTGTGTTCTTGATTCTTTAGAAAGACTAGTCAAAGTTTGCTCTTGTTTAAAGTCTTTCAATAAGGAAATAAATCAAAGAGAATAAAGAAAAGAAAGAAAAGAAATTAAAAGATAGTGGTTGAACTAAAGGGTGAGAATTTGGAAGATATTCAAAGAGTTTTGATTGGACTCTTAACCATATTTGTATATGCATCCACTCATCTTTGCTTTCTCATATCCTCTTTCTTATTGCATACATAAATCCATGATCTTGCTTGGTTCTAATCCCCAAACTTATTGATTTGTCTCTTGCTTCTTAATTTAATCTGTTGTCAGCAGCAACAGTTAATCCAGAATTTACAAGGAAGGTGCTTAACTATTATTTCAACTGACAGCAGTAGTATAGTACTGAACTTTGAAAAGCAGGGAACAGAGGGAAAATCTAAAGTTCGAGTCCCTCCCTTGATCACACTAGAATTAGGAAGGGGGGAAATCAAATGATAGCAGACTAGGAACATTCACAGCATGTATATAATACTGATACTAGCCAAGAATATACCAGGAGCAATGGCAAAATCACCAAAAAAATTTTAATACAATTTCAGTGAATTAAAAAATGTAATTGATGAATGATTGACTTGTCTATGCAATTAGAAGTGGAAAATATTATAAAAAAAAAAGACCACCCAAAAATCTGGTTACTGTCTCTACAGTTTCTGCAATATAAGGGCAGCAAATAGCCTCTTGCTGTATAATATAACATTATCCTTCTTAAAAGAGAATTAAGAGGAATTTCAGCAGTTGGCTTAGAGAAGTATTAACCAGTAGGAATCTAGGGCTAGCATCATTATCCTTAAGGCTAGTTGATGATTTGAAATTAGACTACTGTTACAAGGTCTACAGCATGAATGTAGAAAGGTTAAATCAGGTCATAGCACGTGCATATCCTTGTGCAGATTGACCATGTTCTTGCTAGTCAGTGATCTTGTCACTTTTGTGACAAGGTGGAAAGACATTGTAGTATATATTCCTATTCCAAATTGGTGGTGCCTCTAAAATATGCAAAAAGGCAAATGTTTTTAAAGAATCTCATCATCACAAAGTAGAAAGATGGATTTTTGTGGCGAACCTTGTCAGCTTGTGAATATTGAGCCTGATGATAATGAACTCTAGGTGGTGAACGGAAGAACCAAGTTGGTTGTTGAATAATGACTTGGATTCCAACTTTATTTTTAAGTTGAATAATGAGATGGAGATCATCTCTTAGGTATTCAGTTTGTACGTTTTTTCTTCAATTTCCTTTGATATTCTTTGTTCCATCCAGCAATCATCAACAGAAGCAATATTATCAGCTTTCCAAGATGCTCTTCTTTCTTTGAGGGTTATTCATATGCAGCTAGCTTTTTTTCATCTCGTATATTTTTTCGTGTCAAACCATAACAACAAATCCTATTCTGATTCTAATACCCGCATAATCATATTGAAAGAAGGTAACCACTCTTTCAAAAAACAAAACGAAGTAGGTTCATGCAAGTTCTTTCTTTAGAAATGGTATATAGTCTAGCATCATGATATCATCTACAAGTATTATCCCTCTTCCTTTTGTCACAAGAAAATGCCTCCAAAGCATTTTAGGAACTAGCTACATCAACCTCCCATAATCTATTCCGCATGAGGCACGTATAACTTTATATTGGCCAATGGATATCCACCTATTTCTTAGTAAACTTATTAGGTAATTCCCTTTTTGGTTGATTTCACAGTCACGAAAGGAGGGCCGTGGACAATCTAAAGAAAGAAAAGTGCTAGTCTGTGCTAATCTCATTAGCAAACAGCTTGTCATCTAACTAAATAATATAGCATGTCTCTATCATGTCATAGGCTTAAACAGCTCGACATGTGTGATGTATGATGTGTGTGACTTCGGTGCTCCATTTTGGTTGTTGCATAGCACAGTCTGAACTACAAGGAGACACGTTTCCCTTTTGTGACAAGTTTTGCTTTTCAATCTAGCTTTACCCTGTAGAGCCTCCTTTACCGGTG